ACACACACACACACACACACACACACACACACACACACACACACACAGAGAGATGCAGTTGTACAAAATAACATATTTGTTAATGAAAAACCCAACTGCTGTGCTCCTTGTCTTCAGTGAACCAATGGTGGAATTTAAAGGCTTCACCATCTTCATCAAAAACAGCATTCGCTTCCCACTCTTCGATGTCACCAGGTGGGTCTCCAAACACACTCAGGTTAAAGCAACTGAAACGCGCAGCCAAATTCCTCATTCATTAATCACACTTGCTTCTGAAGAAAGTTGACATCTTGTTTCCTCCCAGAGGAAATTTTCCCCCAACGATGAACATCAAGAACTGCAGTAATAGTGAGAAGGATCCATTCTGTCCCATCTTTCGAGTGGCGGATGTGCTGAAGGAGACCCAGCAGGATCCGACTGAGCTGGCAATGAAGGTCTCATTAATTTTAGGTTAACTTTATGCTCCCAAGATCAAAATGGTGTTGGCCCAGCATCAATGTATTGCTGAACAGAGATAGAAATTGTACACTACACAGAGCGAATGGTAAATCTAAAAAGCAAAAGATTTAGCTACCGGTATATCTTTTATTTGTTCAGTTTGACTTTGCTTTAGCTTTGATACAATCATTTTTGCTGGTGACCATGAAATATCCACCCATACATTGCTTAAATAAAGAGCTGGACTGTTTACAGTAATAATAAATTTGACAAATGAGTAATATTTGAAAAGATACGGCAACATAAGTCAAACCATGGCCAGAAATTAAACTTCTTGTCTACGAGCAATTATTGAATTTAACAGAAGATGGCTTTCTTTGTCAAACTTGTGGTCTGTGTCTCACAAACTCCTACTGATGGTACTGTTCAAAAATATTTTAGTTTTGTGAACTTTTGTTCATTTATTTGTTAGAAGGGGGAATAAAAAGACACATTAAGAGCAGGAAAATACTGTAATTTGTAAAGTAGTTTGACTAATTATCTCTATCATTTATAAGTAACCTGTAGATTAGAATGTTTTTTAACCTTGGAGAAAATTTCTTTAAAATATAGAGCTTTAATGCGTGATTCTTTCTTTTGCAGGGTGGAGAGATAGGGATAAATATTCAGTGGCAATGTAACTTGGACGAAAATATTGAGAATTGTGTTCCCAAGTACTCTTTCAGAAGAATGGACGCTCCCTTTGAAAAGAACAAGGTTTCTACAGGGTACAACTTCAGGTAGGATTGAATAACTTTTCATGTACTTTTCCCCTGCCCTTAGCCTTTTTTTGTAACATTTCCTGTCTTTTAATTTAGATATGCCAAATATTACAAGACAGAGAATGGGACTGAATTCCGAATGCTTCAGAAAGCGTATGCGGTTCGGTTTGACGTTATGGTTACTGGAAAAGTAAGTTATGTGAAACGTGTGCTGTCTATTTTGTTTCCAATTAAAAAAAAGCCTGTCTAGGGGGCAAAAAGTTGAGTCTGAATAAATGTAATTCTTCAGTTTTAGGAAAACATACTGCACAATTGTGAACAAATTTCACTCAAAAACAACAAAAACACACAAACTTGTGTGCATCAAGTGTTGCTAAGCTTTGTTTTTTGGTGAAGAACTGAGAGGGTAAATCTGAGCAGAAATACAAAAGTAAATTAAACACAAGAAGTTAAACGAGGGTTTGTACAACATATACAAATTGAAACATTTGTCTGTAATGTTTGATAAGATCAATAGTACTATAAATAGTATAATATAATAATAGACAATTCAATTTATGTTATTTAATGTATGCAATTCATTGACCATCAATAAATTGAATACCAAAAGGAAGGAAATATGTCAGGAGACAGAGGGAGAAGAGGAAAGTCAAGAATGTAGGACTGAGGGTGGCAAATGTGGGGACAATGACAGGCCAAGGTAGAGAGCTGGATGGCATGATGCAGAGAAGGAAGGTAGATGTTTTATGTGTCCAATAGACTAAGTGAGGGCAGCAAGGCTAGCAGCATTGGAGCAGGGTTTAAACTGTTTTACTATGGTGTGGATAGAAAGATAAGTAGTCCTGAATAAGGAGTTAGCAAATAATGTAGTAGAGGTGAAAAGAATGTCAGAAAGAAAGAAAGAAAGAAAGAAAGAAAGAAAGAAAGAAAGTCCTATGTGTTGTCATCATTGTATGTTTCCATACAATGATGAAATTTGTGCTCTGCATTTAACCCATCACACATAAGATACACGCAGGTGGAGCAGTGGGCAGCTATGTAAGCACGCAGGGAGCTTAGGTTTCTTGCTCAAGGACACCATGACATGTGGGCATGGCAGGGAGTTGAACCCATGACTTTCTGGTTCCAAGTCGGCTGATCTAACTCTACACCACCCATAGGTGCTACCTCCTATGCATGGTAGCACTCTCCATAGAGTGACGTGTCTGAAGGTAGAAGTAGAAGGTCTGATGCTAAACGTTGTCAGTGGTTATGCTCCACACATTGGATGTGATGAGGAGGAAAAAGATACATTTTGGAAAGATCTGGATGAAGTGATAGAGAGTATTCCCAGGGAGGAGAGAGTGGTGATCGGAGCAGACCTGAATTGACACGGTGAAGGAAACAGAGGGGATGTGGAAGTGATGGGTAGGTTTAATATCAAGGAAAGAAACCAGTAAGGACAGATGGTGGTGGATTTTGCCAAGAGAATGGAAATGGCTGTAGTCTAGTCAACACTTATTTCCAAAAGAGGGAGGAACATAGAGTGATCTATAAGAGTGGAGGAAGGAGTACACAGGTCGACTACATTTTGTGTAGAAGAGGAAACCTGAGGGAGATTGAAGACTGTAAGGTTGTGGCAGGGGAGAGCGTGGCCAGACGGCATCGGATGGTTGTGTGTAGAATGACTGTTGTTGTGAAGAAAAGAAAAAGAGTAAAATCAGAGAAGAAGACCAAATGGTGGAAGATGAAGAAGGAAGAATGTTGTGAGAAATTCAGAAAGGAGCTGTTAAAGGCTCTGGGTAGTAAGAAAGAGCTTCCAAATGACTGGACTACTACAGCAACAGTAATTAGAGAGACAGGTAGGAAGGTACTTGGTGTGTCATCTAGACAGAGAATGGATGATAAGGAAACCTGGTGGTGGAATAGTGAAGCAAAGAAAAGAGGTTAGCCAAGCAATATGACAGTGAGAGGACTGAAGAGAGGAGACAGGAATATAAGGAGATGGGATGTAGAACAAAGATGGAGGTGGCAAAGGCAAAGCAGAAGGCGTATGATGAGTTGAATGGGAGGCAGATGTGGACCTACCTTAAAAAGCAAAGGTAGTCAACCACCTTTTCTCACTTCTTATGTTGTGTTTCCACTTGTTTCCCGTACACACTGAAAACAAAAGAAAACACTCGGTGTACATAGACACCAATGTTTTTGCGTATCATTTACTAAATTAAGGGAACAGATTCATAAAATCTAAAAATTTATTTCCATGCTTGACTGGTAACAACATTCTGTAGCAATATGTTGTATTTTCTCAGTTGTGTTTTTGTTTGTTTAGTGTAACATTTATTTATATGTGGAACTTCAGAATGTCATAGTCAGTCGTTCTGGTAGCAAACACCTTCTACCATTAGCATAATTAGCACCAGGTTAGCTTAGCACAAAGACTTGGAAAAAAAGCACTATACTGTCCAACATGAATATAAAGTGAGAACACGTCTGTGAGAAATTACTGCCTAGATAAGTTTTTAGAAACAAAGAATGCTTTATTTAAAAATGTATGTCTTTACCTAAAAGCCCTTCATCACTGTTTCCAACCAGTAGGATAAGCTATTGCACTGGTTGCCATAGAAAACCATTTGAAAACCACTGAAACCGCCGAAGCAGCTCATCATCTTAGCAAGACAAAAAAAAAGCATTGTTTACTCACTACTGAACATTTTCCCAGCTATTAATTCCTTTGTGTAAATGTTAAGAATTTGGACTTTTCATGCTTTTTAAAGATGTATTATCTATTTATTGCTCTTTGATGTGTAGGACTTAAACTGATCATTTTATTTTTCTGCTCGTCTTCCAGGCTGGAAAGTTCAGCTTAGTCCCAACAGTGATCAACATAGTAGCTGCTTTAACCTCAATTGGAATGGTATGAACTTCCACATTGAGGCTAAATTTGAGTTTTATTTTTACAGTCAGCGGTCCCTGCTATTTTTTTGTTCTGTGTTGACAGGGTACAGTTCTCTGTGATATCATCCTACTGAACTGCCTGAATGGAGCAGATCGATATAAAGCCAAGAAATTTGAGGAGGTACTGCATTTTAATATTTGCTTTTTCATTTGTTTTTTGTATTTGTCTGAGCCTGTTCAGGGTCTAATTGTCATATATATCTTCCAGCATCCTATTCTGTCTTACCCTGACTTGCATGTTTTTGGAATGCGGGAAGAAAATTGGAGTACCTGGATAAAATCCACACATGTATGGGAAGAACTTTTCAGAAAGACCCCAAGTCGAGATACTACACCAAAACGCTTCTCGCTGCAAGGTGGCAGTGATAATTACTGTGCTGCCTGTGCTTTAAACAGACAATTTTTAAATTTTATGTAGGATTCTGCAGAGTACGGAAGAGGATTAGGGCCACAGGAAAAAAATAAATAAATACAATTCTCTCAGAATTCTGAGAACAGTGGCACTTTTACATTAATGTTCTTTACATAGACATCTGTGGACTTTTACATTGTTTATTGTGTCAGTTTGTGATCCATTACAAGTATTCTTCCATGTGAAAAATGCACAGCAAAACTAAATGTAAGTGTAACCAGCCAGAGCTCTTTACTCTTGGAAAAGTAAGACATTGTAAAATGAAAAAAAAATTAAAATCACTTTTTTTTAAACCATTATATCATTTGTGGATTTAAACCACATTACTTCTGCATCATTAGTTTCTCTGTCAGGTTGCATTTGTTCTTTTGAATCATTGCACAGTGTTTCAAAACTTGTTTTCTGTATTCCTACATGTTTCAGAGCTGCAAACCTAATTTTGTTCCACTGTACAGTGATGCCTCACTTATTACAGGGGTTACGTTCTAGAGACCCCCGTGATAGGTGAAAATCCCCTCAGTAGTGGCGTTATACTTATTTTATTATTTATATATATATATATATATATATATATATATATATATATATATATAT